GTCCTTGTATGACAAACGCCTATTGCAACTAGAACCACTCCCTGCCACACACCCGTAGTGGCATGGGAAGTAGCGAGGAAAGGAGGCAGGGAGGTCAGACCACACGTCATGCTCCTCGTCATGCCCGTCGCTCCCTGTTTTGTCGGTTTTTTGGCCGCGACTCAAAGGATCGGCAATATACACATAATCGCGCGAACGCAGTCCGAATCGAGCGCTCGTTGCGGAAGCGTCGTTCTATTGCGATGAATAGATGTCATCTACCATCTCTGTTGGCTGGGATGACGACGTATGTCTTTTTTTATGACATTGATATAATTCATCATCATCATCATCATTACAGCCTTTCATAAGTCCACTGCTGAACATAGGCCACCCCCAAGGAATGCCACAAAGCACGGTCCTGAGCCAACTGCATCCATCGACTTCCTGCATGCCTTACCAGGTCGTCACTCCATCTCGTGGGGGGTCGCCCTACACTTCGCCTACCGGTACGAGGCTGCTACTCGAGAACCTTTCTTCCCCATCGGTTGTCGTTTCTTCGAGCTATGGCCAGCCCACTGCCACTTCACCTTACTAATCCGTTGGGCTATGTCGGTTACTCTAGTTCTACTGCGGATATCCTCATTTCTAAGTTTATCACGCAGAGAAACTCCGAGCATAGCCCTCTCCATAGCTCGCTGAGCGACCTTGAGCTTCCTCATACGGCCAGCTGTGAAGGACCACGTCTCAGTTCCGTAAGTCATCACTGGCAACCCGCACTAGTTGTACAATTTCGTTTTAAGGTTTTGAGGTATGTCTGACGAGAAAATGTGTCGTAGCTTCCCGAACGCTGCCCAGCCGAGTTGAATCCGTCGATTGACCTCTCGGTCGAAGTTGGACTTACCTAGTCGGACTATTTGTCCCAGGTAAACATACTCGTCTACAACTTCGAGCTTAGTGCTCCCAACAACTACCGGCATAGGTGTGACATGGACATTAAACATAATCTTTGTTTTGTCCATGTTCATCTTAAGACCTATCCGTTGGGAGACACTATTGAGGTCATTGAGCATAGTGCTTAGGTCCTCCTGCGATTCTGCCATAAGGACTATATCGTCGGCAAATCGAAGGTGAGTAATGTACTCGCCATTGATGTTGATACCGTATCCTTTACAGTCCAGAAGCTTGAAAACGTCTTCCAATGCAGCGGTGAAGAATTTCGGGGATATGACGTCACCCTGTCTTACACCTCTCTGCAATTAGATAGGTTTCGTACTCTGGTTCTGTAGTCGGATAGCCATCGTAGCTCTACTGTACAAACACTTCAACACTTCGATATACCGACAGTCAACTTGGCACCGCTGAAGGGACTGCAGCACCGCCCAAATTTCGACGGAATCAAAGGCTTTCTCATAGTCCACATACGCCAGACATAGTGGCAAATTGTACTCTTCGGACTTCTGTACAATTTGCCGAAGGGTATGTATGTGGTCTATGGTGCTAAAGCCTTTTTGGAAACCGGCTTGTTCGGGAGGCTGGAAGTCGTCAAGTCTGCGCGCGAGAAGATTCGTAATGACTCTCAAAAACAGCACGTAGACGCGGCTCAGAAGGGAGATAGGTCTGTAGTTCTTCAAGAGAGCGTTGTCGCCTTTCTTGAAGAACAAGACCACCGCACTTCTGCTCCACGCCTCCGGTGTAATGTCACCATGGAGGACGGAATTAAAGAGCTTCTGTAGGACTTCAAGTACCGGTCTTCCACCCGCTTTCAGAAGCTCCGCTGTAATTCCGTCCTCGCCTGGGGCCTTACCGTTTTTAAGGTGCTGGAGAGCCATTCTAATCTCACTCAGACTGACGTCCGGGATATCTTCGGAATAGTGTCGGATGAGACTCGCTCTTGGATCGTTACTCACACTTGCGTGTGGCTCCAACGATGACGTGTACAGCTGCCCATAGAACCTCTCAATCTCACTCAAAATCTCAGGTGTCCCGGAAACGATGCTGCCACAATCTGTCTTCAGCCTTGACAGTTGGCTCTTTCTGGCAGACAGATCTCTGGCAAAGACTTTGGAGCCTTGGTTCCGCTCGATCGCTTCTTCAATAGGAGCTGTATTGAAGTAGCGTAAGTCTCGCCGCATCCATTTGGAGATCTGTCAGTTCAGTTGCCTGTATGCTGTCAAATCTGTTGAAGAATGTAGCTTAACCTCTCGTCTAACAGCCTTGAGATTAAGAGTGTGATCGGAGAGTTTTTGTGTTCTTCTGCGGCGTGTCTTGCAGAATTTAGCTCCGACCGCATGGACAGTTTCCACGAGCTTGTCATTCATATCGTCCACTTCATTGCAGTCTTCTAGGCACTGAAAACGGTTTTGTAACTCGAGCTGAAAGGTTTCGGGACTTTGGAACAGAGCACGAGGGGGACGGAGCGTTGACTTCATTAGACGAGACCTCTCCAACTTAACGTTTAGGTTCAGTGTGCCTCTAACCATTCGGTGATCGCTACCAGTTTTCACCCTCGCGATCACGGAGACATCACTGAACAGTTGTCGTCTGGTCGTCATAATGAAGTCAATCTCATTTTTTGTCGAACCGTCGGGGCTCGACCAGGTCCACTTCCTGTGAGGCCGCATCTGGAAGAAAGACTTCATCATAAAGAGTCCCTCTTTCTCCATGAAGTCTGCCAGCTGCTGGCCCCTTGGGTTCCGTTGCCCTATTCCAAATTTCCCTACTTTCAGCTCACCGTTCTCTCTTGTGCCTAGTTTTTCATTGAAGTCTCCCATTAACACCGTATATTGGGTTTTGGAGGAATGCAAGGCTCTAGAGATATCCTCATACATTTCCTCCACCTCCTCATCGGGGTGTGCCGAGGTTGGTGCGTAAACCTGTATGACCTTCAGCGAATACCGTTTGGTGATTCTGAGTATAAGGTACGCAACCCTCGTCGACACACTCCCGATCTTTACAACGTTGTTAACGAGAGACTTGTGGACGATAAATCCGACACCTCTTTGGGACAGATGGTCGCCCTCCCGGTGATAGAGCAAGTTGCCGGATTCGAGGATTACCGTGTCCTCCCCCTCTCTTCGGACTTCGGATAATCCTATAATATGCCAGCGCAACTTGTCTATCTCTTCTTCCAGCTCCACGATCTTCTCGTCAGTCCTCAGGGCGCGTGCGTTGTACGTTGCTAGGTCGAGTCGTCTAAGGTGGCAACCGAACCTCCACCGGAGATTCTTAGCACCCCCTGCCCCGCCGTTACCATGGTCGCCACCGTAGCCAGGAATAGCGGGGCCGCCGGGGACTGGGGGCCGTCTGTTTTTTGCTTTAGTCATTGGGGGGTATTTGCCATAGTTGCCACGCTTGGCGAGCGGGTTGGCAACCGCAGTTTTTTTATTGTAATTTTGGCTATTATCAGGAAGATGCTGCTGCCCATCTCCTGCCTGTTTCCCTTTGTCGCCTTTTACGACACCCACGGGAGGATATGGGGTAGTGGATATTCTTGACCGCCACTACACGGCAGGTATATTATAGGTATATATATATATGCAGGTATGATATAATTAGGTATATTAAATATGAATCAATTTCAACATCCATTGTGTTGCAAACGCAAGCAACCTAGTGCGGAGCGCGAGGAGCAGAGCGGTGGGCAGCGTGAGGAACATAGGGTAGTGGAGCCTTTAAACCAAACAGGTCATGCTGCGTACATTATTAGTATTACTTAATTCCTCCCTCTCTCTCTCTCTCTTTCTCTTTCTCCCTCTGAAACACTGTAATGCGTACAGCAAAGGAGTGGAATAATTTGCTAGACTTTCCAACCGATTGCAATGTGGGTGTCTTCAAGGCAAGAAAAAATGAGTAAGTTTTTGTTAAGCTTCACAGTTTCACCGTCTTCGACTACATCACCACCATCACTTGGGTACAGGTGAGATAATAGTCAGAAACTGGGTGCCTCGTTGCACTCCTACTTGCATAGAATACAATAACTAGCTGTTTGACTTCATTATTATCATCATCATCTCCCTATGAAAGTCCACTGTCACCTCATAGACTGGCTTACAAGGGGATTCTTTGCCATAGTTGCGACGCTTGAAAGCAGGTTAGCAACCGTTTATTTTATTTTCTTGCTACCGTGTAGTGGCGATGAAGGAATATCCACTACCCCACAAGCCTGGAAATATTTAATAATTAAATTTATTATACAGCCAAGCTGATGTCTGTGAACTGACGATAGAGACATTCGTAAAGATTCTGTCATTTGACCCGGATCGCGTAAATGTATCGATAATTGCAATCATTTGTTCTGAATGACGGCGCCACTTTAGAATGAGGTGACAGACAGATTTTATAGCGGGTAAGTTGATTTGTTAGGAAAATATGAGGATTTAAGTTTATTTCTTTAATATTAGTTATATTAATTAGATTAGTAATAAATAAACCAAACTACGGATAATCCTAAAAGTAAAAAAAATTAGACTTATAAATTATCAAAAAAAATTAAATAGAAAACCACTGAGACATTGTTTTGTGTATATAGTACTCTAGAAAGTGTTAAACTTTTATTTAAAATTAACTTCTCAATTAAATAAAATTGTATAAGAAAAAACTTCACCTCACTATCAACTAACGACATCTGGTGAGCGGAAGATTATTAGGCTCCATTGAGGAAACCTTTGTAACCTATGTGGAGCTGCAATGAGCATATTGCGAATGAATGTTCACATCACTTCAAACCATGCTCAACCAATTGTAAGAACATGCATGCAGTGTTCAATCAATCTTACTTTGTTTCTTTAAACCGACCAAAAATGTTCTGGTTCTGGTGTTTGTGTTTTGGTCTGTAGGGTATAAAAAGCCAAATACAATTACTGTCTGCGATTGTTAAACATTCCATTTAAGTCCTTAGTGACGTCAGAAGTTGGCTGCAGACGTCCACGGACTGCAGTAGCCACATCCCATCCAATGAACTGTAAGTTTTAGGTCACTTGTTTTTTAAAAATAAATATTTTGAATAAAATTAGGTTTTTGAGCTAGTGAATAACAGTTTTTATTTCAATAAATATTTACAAATTGTAATTTAAAAATACACACTGCTCTATCTCATTGGTCTTTAAACAACTTCGCTTATTATTTATTATTAAACCTACTTTAGAAAATATTTGGTCACAGGGCACACTGGTGGCCACAATACATAACCTACTTTGCATCAATTTAAATAATCTTGGGTATATGTTTTTGTGCTCATCCCACCACATTAATGGATCATCAAGTCTCTTAATTAGTGGTTCATTTATATATTTTTCTATCTCTTTGAGGCTCGCAGTCTGTGGATCCTGATCAGAAATAATATACTCAACTTGTTTATCAAAGTCATCCCAAAGCAGCGAGGTATTAGACAATTGAAGGTGTGTTGCAGACGAAGTAGATGGCTGGGGATCTTGAGTGTCGTCGGGGCAGAGAGATGGAGTTGCTAAAATTTCGCGTTTTAAGGAGTTCACACATCTCTCATATTTTACTGTATCAGGAAAACCGTATTTCTTAAATCTTGGGTCTAAAAAAGTTGCCTGTGTTACAAGGTCTTGGGTATCCATTTCAAAGAATCTAAGTGACATCGAAGTTTGTAACTCTTGTACTAGTTTGGTAAGCTTTTCATCAGTAAAATATTCTTCAGATGCTTTAATTAAATGTTTATTTATTGCTCTTATCAACAACATTAACTTTGACAAGGTGACATAATTTTCGGCTGAAATTTCTTCAATAATAACTTTAAAAATTTCTAACACATTTGCTGCTTTCTCTAGCATCGTCCACTCCGATGACGACAGACAATTTAAATCTGGGTTGTCGTGTGTCAGAACACTGGTCACAGCTTCTCTAACTTTTAAGATACTGGATAACATATCAAAAGTGGAATTCCACCTGGTTATGCAGTCTTGTTTCAATTTTATGTCCGGAAGATTTAATTGTTTTTGCATATTAGTTAATTTTACCAGTGCATTGGAACTTTGTTTAAAGTAAAGAACAATGTCCTTTATTTTTGACAATTCTGCTTGAATTATCTGTAGACCATCACCCAAAACTATATTGAGGGTATGAGCGAAGCAAGGAATGTGTCTCCAATTGTTGTTTCTTACAGCAGCAACAATGTTTGATGCGTTATCCGTGACTACACAAACCACTTTATTTTGCAGGCCCCATTTCTGTACCTCTTCTGCTAACAACATTCCTAATTTTTGTGCAGTATAACTATTGTCGTAGGGTATGCATCCTAGTCGGCATGATTGTAGAGAGCTTTTGCCGTCAATTTCGCAAATAAAATGTGCAGTTATGGCAACATAGTTTTGGTCACTAGATGTCCAACTATCAGTAGTAAGGCAAGCTGCATTCACAAAGGATAAGGTTTCTGTAACCTTCTGTTTTGTTTCATTGTACAATCTTGGAATAATTACATTTGAAAGAGTTTTTAGGGTTGGCATGGAGTAAGCAGGACGCAACATAGAAATAAACTTTCTAAACTCTTTATCTTCTACTATACTAAATGGATAATATTCTTTTACTATGACCCTGGTAAGTTGTTCATCTAGTTGTTGTTTAGAATAAGCAATGGATATTTGTCTGCAGACAGTGGGCAATGTACCCTGGAGTCTTAGAGTGGGCTCTGTTTTTATTTGTTGTGACTGCTGAAGAAGAGGGTCTTTACAACTTTGTGCTGATGCTGTTTTCAGATTTAGAACAGTAGATTTTCTGTCTTGTGTCAGTTTAGAGACTGTACTACGTTCAACAGGAATATATATTACCCTCTCAAAAGCATTTGCCTTATGTTTTGACTTCAAATGTCTAAGTAAATTTCCTGTAGCCCCCCCAGTGTAACTGAGTGTCTGTTGACAGTGGCTGCATTTAGCCTTCCCATTTGCCTCAGTGGAAAAATGTTGCCAGATTAAACTCCATTTCCTTCGAGGTGGTGGCATTTTTATTGATGAGATCACACATGTCAATCAAATGCCACCATCAACATCACCACTACACCGAGCTAAATATAATATGTTAGGGTTATACTGAACATTTTAATATATTGTAAAAAATTACTATGTATCTCATAAACATATATGACTTTCTTGAATTGTTTAATTTTATTTTATTTTAACAATTTCGTGAGCTCACACATTATAATAGTAGTAACTAGGCATTGTAATTATAATAGTGAATTTACAGAGTGTTTAATCCTTGAGCAACCACAAGACGGGGATGAAGGAAAATATTGTGAGGATATTTGTTTTTTATTGATAATTTTATCTGAGGAATTAAGTATTTTTTGAAGACATATTAAGTACATCAACACATATTATGTTGTAGTGAAACAGCTAGGCGTAATGGCCTGTGCCCAGAAGTGAAATATACATATGCTGCAACTTTATGTCTTAAACTGATTTTAAATTTGTTTGAAAACAGTAACATATAAACTTATGAACTTATATAAATAGACTACGAATAATTTGTTTCTATGAAGCGACCGAGAAGTGAGATACACCAAAATTTAAATTAAGGAAGAGGTCATATAACAAGTTTATATTATCTCCGCGGCACAAATCCTAACACTAATACATTTTAAAAGGTCTGAGCACTATAACTTTATTAAAAACGGTAAACAATGTTTAACATTTGTTGATAATTTCAGTAATTTGCTTCTTATTAGTTTGTGACTATGTTTGTGGTAATTTTTGTTTCATAAATAAATAAATAAATATGTAGCACAAACTTTATAGAAACACATACCTATGTATTATCCATAGATAAATATATATCAAAGAGTATAGTAACCAAAGAGTATAGTAATTGTCCTATACAGGAATGTATTATCAGGCTGGTGCAACTTCCATAGTAAAAATTATATGTACTACAGGGGTCAAATTTTAATGACGGTTACTCTTCTTTATGCTTTTCGTGATATGTCTATTAACGACATTGTCAAATGAAATAGGTTCAAATGTCAAATCAAACAATTATATTTGTATATATTTTATTAATTAAGATTGCTTTTAATTTTGCTATAGGAGCCGTTGTTCATTTACAGAATTGTTAAGAAATTAAATACGCATTATAAAACTTTCCAATTAAATGGTGCAAGAAGCGGAAAAAAATGATAACAAGAAAAGGCTATTCGTAACAATATTTCCCTTAGATGATGAAAGGTATGTGGTGATTTCAACTTAAATAGTAATATGATATTCAACGCGAGTATATTTTTGGACTAGCCATCTATGTAGGACATGTTTTTATAGTGTACGATTGTGTGCACAAATACAAACACACTATTTCCTAAATCTGATAGTTCGATGGTTTGGCAATCCGAAACGAACTATACTTAGAAACTACAAGTCAATTCTGACTGCTAACATTCTATTTGTTCAATAATAATGTGATTTTATTTATATTATTTTTTCAGATGCAAGCAATGGGTGAAATAGCTGGCACATGCACTAATTGAAAAGATTCACATGTTAAGACATATTTGTGACAAACATTGCATATGAACCCAACTAAAACGAACTGTCATTTCTTTAATGGACTTACTTTAAACTTCCACAATTTATGTGTATGTTAATTAGGTTTCATTTACATGTAGCAAAAGATAATATCCCTCTAAAGTCACATTTTGGCAAGAATTAGATTATATAACTAAATCATTATTTTATTCATCAATAAACATTAGCTATAATGAACACTTATTTTGAAAGCGACAATTAATAAACAATCTCTGCGAATAGTATGTACATGGGTGCCTCTGTGAAGAAGCCTAGCGATTTGTACATAGTATTTGTTACACATAAAAGCAATTTAATCCAATCAGTATTAAAAACCCAATATTTTTACCCTTAAAAAACTAACGTTGAAAACAAGCATCCAGACGCAGACTATTTATTTTACAGCATAGCAACAATTGTTCAGTGCGGGAAGGAAGCCTCGGTCCTGCAATGCCGCAGCCAAACGCTTAGCCACTGCGCTACGGAGTCGTCATTTATTTTTTACCTAATTAATTACTAGTATAAAAGTGGGTTTTTTATTTTATATTTTCTTTATACATACTTTTGTACCTAATTGTAGAGATAGAGATATAAATACAAATTGCTGTGTGTAAAATAAATTGATTTCTTATCCTCATCGGCATTTTTACTAAATCTACACGTTAAAACTTTTATTTCTCATAAATAATTCAGTATAGAAATCTAACTTTTCTTATGTAAAAATATCGATAAACAATATATCGATAAAGGTTATTGCGATAAAATTATTCGAGGATAGACATTTACAGCACTATTGTTATAAAACTAGATGTCATATCTTGATGTTGGTAGAGTAACTTGGCGTAATTACATGCAATTATTTTTACTATGGAAGTCCCGCCTCTTAAACGTAGTGATTATATTCTCTTTGTGTATTATGTAGCAATTTTTTTAATAACTGGCTTTACGGCTCTGGGATCTAGCTCTTCTGAGCCTAAAGTTACAATATATTATAATTATCCTTCATAGTACACTGCTTCACAATATGTTGATGCGTCACATTGTGCAGCCCTTGGGAGATTTTGGCGGCAACTTGAGCCAGCAGACAGCTGACAGTTGGCGATGGTATCTCAAAGCGCGTAAGCAGACAGACACACCTTATTTTGAGAATCACATCACCATCAGTGCACTTGTTTCACAGTTTCCACAGTTCACATGCGCAGACACTTAATACACAAAATCGCACCACTTTTACATATCAAAATCCGCTTCAAACCATTATTTAAACAATAATACAGGAGCAGCAAACCATCGCTGGTCAAGTTCCCGCCAAAACCCTATTATGTAGCAATTATTTATTACTTTTAAACTGGCTTTACGGCTCTGGGTTCTAGCTCTTCTGAGCCTGCATTATGTAGCAAGATTTGTGTCCACAGAGTATCGTTTTATAAGTCACAGACTATTATTATAAGTTGTGTCCATGTCCATTGTAAGATACTAAGTCTATGGTCCATTGTCCAATCTTTTTTTATATAAGATTTTTGGCTTGAATGCTTGTTTATTAAGCTAAGTCGTCATTTCATTCGGAATATTCTATTGTGGATTTAATGTATTTGTAAATAGGCAGAAAATATTTCATATTCTTCAAAAACATAGTCAAGAGGCAGGGGTCATTATTTGCGATGGGTTCACTTTCACTCTCACTGTCACTGTCACACACTTCACTAGCTTAGAGTATTCAACTAACAGGAGACGCCATGCGCATAAAGTTCCAAACAAAAAAGTCTGTCATTTCTAGCGGGAGGCGAGGTAACGCACACTAAGCAAATCGTAAACATTGGGCCACGTCGTTACGCACGCAAACGGCATAATATGAACACACGATTAAGCAAAACGCACACAACCTTGAAAATCTCTCATAAATGTCCCATCGTTACACAGTGTACAAGTCAACTAACAGGAGACGCCATGCGCATAAAGTTCCAAACAAAAAAGTCTGTCATTTCTAGCGGGAGGCGAGGTAACGCACACTAAGCAAATCGTAAACATTGGGGCACGTCGTTACGCACGCAAACGGCATAATATGAACACACGATTAAGCAAAACGCACACAACCTTGAAAATCTCTCATAAATGTCCCATCGTTACACAGTGTACAAGAACATAAACAACTAGTGCTAGGGCCTTGTCGATATGAATATGTCGATGAAATTTTATGCAAGTTACATTAGCAAATAAAATAAAAATGAACAATAAGACAAAAGTATGTTTAATGTGTAATATTACATTCAAAGTAAATTGAAAAAAATACATCCGGTACAAAATAATAATTCAAAATTACCAAAAATAAAACAAAGTGAAAAAGTATTATATTAGGTTTTTACTGGTTATTAAAGTGAATAAGTTTGGTATATATGTGACGAATACACTTTTTGGGATCACTCTTTTTTTGCAAGGTAGCTAATTCTAGTGCTTGCATATTTTTCCATCGCCAAGTTTGCTAGTTCAATGTTATGTGGAACGCAATCATTATCGAAATAATGTTCCTGTATGCTGAAAATATCGGCTTGTCAACAAAACGTTTAAGTATATTATTTCTAATAACTATCGTTGAGCATGACTGGTTAACCTTTCGTGAGGAGTTAAGTTTTTCCTAATTTCTATTTCACAAAGACGACACAAATTAATTACCTCTAATTACCTACCTGTTAAAACAACAAAGCCCGCTATATATTCGACCACTTTTTCGCCAATAGGTGTTAGTCTCTATGTCCGCTACCATATTTTCTTCAGTTATTCCACTGCTCGTGATGACGTCCAAGGCTGTGTCCTCTTTTCGGCTGGTCAAATTGATTCTATCAACAGCTGATGAACAATTAAGAATAGAAATCTTTTCTAAGGGTATGCAGTTAGTGCCTCTTTCAATTTGGATCAATTTGGTATGTATTAGCAACTTTTTATAAAATAGCTTCTAATTGACGTTCGAAGGGATTATCAGAATGAATACCATGACTTCTGATGTTTGAAAATAAAATTTCTCCATGGTCTTGGCTAATTTTGTGTTGTAGTAAATAGTTAAGTGAAGCGTTTGGACCTAATACTAGATCGTCAAATGTGCGTTTCACTTTCAATGCTTACAAGAAACCCCAAAAATCCTGTGTACCGAGGACTCTTTAAAAGATTAACTCGCTTGTATACATTATTACGAGAAATGACATTGGTTTCTAAGTTTCTAAGTTTTCTTTAGCCTCATCCAACCTGGCAAAGTTTCTTTCATAGTTATTACTATTTAATGCTTGTTTAAATCTTTTAGACCAAGTTTTCGAGTCGAGAATATCAAAAACATCATTAACTAACTTTAAAAAATTTGCTGTGGGCGCAACGTCTTCAAATAAAGGTAAATTTAGTACATTTTTGCAAAATAATAAGGCATTTGCTACACTAGTGCTGAAGAGTTGGGCTGCTAGACGGACATTCATTACTTTAGTTTTTAAATATATATGATTAGCTTTTAATTTTTTTTCCATGTAAAAAAGTTCATTCTCCTTTAACTCATGCATATTTTGGTGACCACCGGATTTTATCAACAGAAGCACTTTGGATAAAATACTTATAAAACTCAAAAGCATTACGTACCAGTTTCAGCATATGGCAGGGATCTAGAAAAAAGAAAATTTTGTGCCCGTACGTGGATCTAATATAGCAGTCTGTAAATTTTCTGTATTTAAACAACAGCCTAACTCTTCAGCCATAGCAAGATTTGCCTTCGTACCGTCGCATGTCAATGCTTTAATTTAAACTCCGGTTTCATGAACTAGATGTAAAGCTTGGGTCACTAGTCGTGCTTTTAGGTCAGCACTTGTACCCTTTACTAAGAAGTACCCAATGGGTACTTTCCAAGTAGTGTTAATGCCCACTAATAAAAATACTAAAGCATCAGTGGCCTCCTTCGAATTGTCAGAAATGAAGTCAAATCCATAATTAACATAACCAAAATGTCTTTTAGAACTTACATGGTACTCCGTCAATTGTTTTATTCTCATTTCATCTATCACTAATGTACAATACAATTTCTTGTCAGGGTTACTCTCTGCTCTAAGTTTTAAAGCAGTTAACGCTTCCCTTGTGGAGCCAGGTCGGCCATCAATTGTATTATACCTATATACTTTGTTATAGTACGTGGTGAGGGCAGACACGTTCCAAATGTTTTGCGCACATATCGATAAGCTTTCGGTAAATAGTAATGTAAATTTAAAGAAAAACATCTGAGTTCT